ATCGAAGAAGTGGGCTGTAGTCCACGAAAGCTTGTGCTCTAATAAATTTGTTAGTCTCTAAGGTGCCACAAGTACTCCTGTTCTTTTTAAAGAATAATAGTAATAAGAGGTCATCAAGATCAGCACAAGTAGAACATGAGTGGAATCTCCCCATGAGAACTCTTTGGCTGAAAGGAGAGAGGGCTACTTCAGCCAGTAGTGAAAGCTGCTGTTGTCTGATTGCTGTTTACCAGCATGTGGCAGTGCATTGGTGGTGTCAGTCCAATTCCTAATGGATAAATGGAATCATTCCCCAAACCATCATCAGAATTCCCCGGGTTAGCAATCTTGTTGGCAGTCTCTGTAGAGAGATTGCTGATTTAACTACTCTGTCACAAGAGGTTGTCCATTAAGGTCAGGTTTGAGGCACTGAGGTGGAGTAATAGGGAAAGCTTTCATTATCTTGTCTGTCAGTGAAATAATGGCTGCAGCTTGCAGCACTCTCAATTCAGCACCTTTCACCAGAACTAAGTCCATTTTATAAAAAATGGAGAACAATTACTATTTGAGTATTTAATTTCAATTAGAGGTTTTATTCCACAAGAACTTGTAATTGATGTTCTCATTTGCTGCATATTTGCAAATGGCTGTCTTGGAAAAATAGCTAAGGTTGAACAGTAGAAAATGGAATGTTTAGAAAAAATCTGTCTACCGACTGAATTGCAAATTAGAAATAGGACAACAAATAAGAAACGAGCATGTATTCACCCCAAACATCAACTTCCTACAGTGCATCTTGTAATACTTTAATCAACTTCAATATTTTGTGTAACACGTGAAACTTAATGATAATATATGTAGGTACTTAAGCACATCCTAATTTTAAGAACATGTAGTCACACTGAAATCAAAAACAGACTCCAACGAGAGACTGCTGAGCTGGAATTGATATGCAAACTAGATACAATCAATTTAGGATTGAATAAGGACTGGGAATAGCTGAGCCATTACAAACATTGAATCTATCTCCCCTTGTAAGTATTCTCACACTTCTTATCAAACTGTCTGTACTGGGCTATCTTGATTATCACTTCAAAAGGTTTTTTTCTCTTACTTAATTGGCCTGTCAGAGTTGGTAAGACAACTCCCACTCCCACCTGTTCATGCTCTCTGTATGTGTGTATATATCTCCTCAATATATGTTCCATTCTATATGCATCCGAAGAAGTGGGCTGTAGCCCACGAAAGCTAATGTTCTAATAAATTTGTTAGTCTCTAAGAAAAAAGAAACAGGAGTACTTGTGGCATGTTAGAGACTAACAAATTTATGAGAGCATAAGCTTTCGTGGGCTACAGCCCACTTCTTTAGCCCACGAAAGCTAATGTTCTAATAAATTTGTTAGTCTCTAAGGTGCCACAAGTACTCCTGTTCTTTTTGCGGATACAGACTAACACGGCTGCTACTCTGAAATTAGTCTCTAAGGTGCCACAAGTACTCCTGTTCTGAAATCAATGGGACTCCTAGCTGGTATTGTAGCTGTATCCCTCCCTACTTGATGTTTTCCTGGCACATTTGTTACTTTGGCATTTTGATGTGGTTCTTTTTAGTTTTATGTGTACACGCTATTCTCCCTGGTGCTCCTATGAGTAAAGAGGGAAAGCCAAATTGATCCCTGGTGTAATTACACTGAAGACCAAGGAGCTGCATCAGGGATGGATTTTACTCCATAAAGGCTTCCAATTCTCAAGCCATCTGTTTTGATTTTTAGTTTGAGAAGTATTATAGACAGAGTTTAAAAACTCTCCCAGAGCATTTGAAATCCAGCCATAATGTTAAAGGAATAAGGGAAAGCATAAATGTGTAGTTTATTTGCAGGCACTGTGGGGAATTTAAAAAAGTAATCAAATGTATGTGGGTTTTATAGACTGCAAACAGCAAATGGTCTGCGACTGTACAAAAGGGAGGTGTAACTGACATAGGGAAACACTGTACGAAGTTACCTGAATTTCACCTTTTCTATGCTGCCCACTCCTTGCCTATCCTGCCTAAATCCTAACTCTCCACAATACTTGGTGGTTCTTCCTACTCCACTTGGGACCCACAGTTCTTATTTCTCTTTCCTCTCGTCATGCTCTCTCAGTTTCCTTGCCTACTCCAGCAGGTGATTGGCAAGAGAAGCTGCTGCTGCTGCCTATCCGCTACTCTGCTGTATGGGTGACTGCTATCCCTCATGTGCTGCTCCTGCAGCCAGGGCCAGCTCTGGCTTTTTTGCTGCCCCAGGCAAAAAAGCCACACGCCACCCTCCGCCCCCCCCCGGCGGGGAGCGTGGCAGGGGAGGGCGCCAAGCCTGGCCGCGGGCCCACTCTCCCCGACCAGCTGGAGTGCCGGGAGGAGGGCGGAGAGCCCGGCCGGGGCTCCGTTCTCCCCGGCGGCCAGAGCGCCGCGGGGAGGACGGTGAGCCCAATCGCGGCCCCGCTCTCGGGCCAGAGCGCCGCGCCGCCCCCCTCCAGGTGCTGCCCCAAGCACATGCTTGGTGGGCTGGTGCCTGGAGCCGGCCCTGCCTGCAGCCTGCTGGCTCTGGGGGTTTCTGTGCATATTCAGGTGCGAGGGGTGTGGGCAGGTAAGTAGCTTCAAAAGAGCTACTGCTGCTGTCCATGCTCCTCTCCATCAGCAGGAACTTCCTGGAGTGAAGATGTCATTTGGCAGCTTTCTCAACCACCTACTGATTCTCTGCCATCTCCTGTGAGATCTCTTTCTATCTTTCTGCCATCCCTTCCTTCCATAGACCATTCAGAGAGGGTGGTGAAAGGTAGTCTTTGCATCCCGACTAATCCCTCTGTTATAACTAGGGTGACCAGACAGCAAATGTGAAAAATCAGGATGGGGGTGGGGGATAATAGGAGCCTATATAAGAAAAAGACCCAAAAATCTGGACTGTCTCTATAAAATCAGGACATCTGGTCACCCTAGTAATAGAAGTGGTTCCTGTAGGCCCTTGTGGGTCCCTAAGGAATACAGAAGGTGAAATTTACATCCATGAATGCCCTGTCGCCATTTGAGAGATGCTATCCTCATGCTGGTTTAAAGTGTTAGGTCTTCCCATTGCCATTGCATTATATTAATAAGTTTTCCCTGGGACAGGATACAGAAATCTAATTACATTCGTTATATTTCTCATTATATTCAATTATGTATGCTTAGATTTAATTTTTGCTGACAAGCTGTACAGTTTTGTTTTAATGATTCTGTGTCAGTACTACCCAGTGAAATTGTAATCTAAAAAACAGTTGCCTTTACAAATAGATTTTCATTTTTATATTTGTTTAAAAACACATGCAAACAGCCAGGCAATATGATTAAAAAGTGCTTATGTTGCAGATACATTGCAGCAACTTCTCCAGTAAAACATGATACAGCATTATTGTACTCTACTTAAACAATGTCCCTGGGTATTACATTGACCAAAACTCTGGTAAAAAAAACCCACTTTGATGGAGAGGAGTTTTATAATTAGAGAGCGCATGTCAAATTCAAAAGTGTTTGTAGGTAGTAATCACAGAAAATATCCCCAAGGAATGTGTAGTATTTAATTTCATAGGCAATTTAGCGTGTGGACAATTTATATATATCCTGTTGCACTTCAGCAAATTGACAAAAAGCATGAATGAATCAGTTTGGATAAAATAAAGGATTCAAAAAATTCCAAGCCCCTTTTGCTCTCTAGAACCAACCTGACGCCCAGTGTTTTCTAGGATTCTGTTGCAATCTAAACAGTAGACATGACACAAGAAGTGAAGATCGGGAAAAGGAATTAAAGTACAAGGGTCATAACTGATGGGTCTGTTTATTTATTAGCATCTAGAGCTGGCCAAAACTCAGAATTTCATAGGAAATCCTGACATTTTGAAATGCCCTTTCTGTCCAACTCAGATCAAAAAGCAAAAATTTCTAAATTTCCTGTAAGACAAAATTAAAAACAAAATATTTCAGAAATATTGAAATGACTTTGTCAAAATGCTTCATTTCAATAAGGTTGAAGTGCATAATTTTGATAAAGTCAAAGTTCTTCATTGTGACTTTAATCATACAGTCAAAATAATAACATTGATATGGAGCGCTTTCATAATTTTTCATAGAAAATGTTGATGAAATCAATATGTTCCCGTGAAACATTTCAGTTTAATCGAATCAGCATTTTCCAATGACAAACTGTTTTGTCATAAAATTTTAAATTAACTCCATTAGAGTTGTTTTAAAAGATTGTCAAGTATGTCCAGAGCATTGGATGGATACTCTTCATTGTACTTTAGTATAAATCCAAATAAATAATATCACAGGTTTCTCATTTAAAGCATGTGAACATCTTGATTTGGTTTCTGTATTGGACCACATGTACTTATATTAGGATGGTGTAGGTAAAGTAGAGAGAGTTGTATATATCTTGCACAAATCTTGGTATGATCATGCAAGCTTGTGTTGACATTACTTAAATATCTGTATTAGTAACACCATCAAGTATGGGCATAATGCATCCTTTATTTTTGGAATTATTTTACTGTTAAAGTCTAACTGAAACCAATGTTTTGATGATGTTGTTTTTCTTTTCAGATAGATATGTCATAGTTGGTAGCCACCACAACAGTGTATATGGTTACAGTGGACAAGAATGGGCCAGTAGCACTGCTGTCATCACAGCATTTATACAAGCCTTGATGCTAAAAGTTAAGAGAGGCTGGAGGCCTGATCGGACCATTGTTTTCTGCTCATGGGGAGGAACATCATTTGGCAACATTGGCTCATATGAATGGGCAGAGGTAAAAACTATAAACAGAAAGGAGAGAAAGAGAGAATGTCATTAATGAAAACATTTGATGATGTAGCTATGGAAACTGTGAAAAGCAGACACTACAATATGGCTATATGTGGAAGCCGCAGCTCTATTAAAAACTCTTACTTAAGTGGGATAACAGTCCAAACTACCTGGCAGGGTTGTTCCTGTACAGAACTCAACTGGCACCAATGGCCCGGGTGGACGATAAGCCTGACATTGAGCATGGAGGCCATGCCTGTTCTACACCTCAGGCCTGCCCAGGGACCTTGACTGGAAACCAAGGTTCCAAACTGTTCCCCTCCTCCATGCTGGAGGTTGGAGAGGGGAGCTGCATGATGCATGAGAACCATGGAAACATAATGCCCCACTATGCAGTGCTGTACTCATGTCAGTGTCCATTCAGCCTACTGAGTTACATGGACCTCAATTTGGACCCTTTGAACTCATTATCCTATTGGAACATCATTTGGCAACTCGCCCCGGCCCGGCCCCTGTCCCACCGCTTCTCGCCCCTGCACTGCCCTCACCCTGCCCCCATTCCACCTCTTCCCCCAAGTCCCCGTCCCCTTCCTGCCCCCATTCCACCCCCTTTCCCCAAGTCCCCGCCCCTTCTCTGCCATCTCACATGAGCGCGCTGCATCCCTGCTCTTCCCCCTCCTTCCAGGAAAGTCCTAAGCAGTGCCAAACAGCTGTTAGGTGGCAAGGGGGATGGGAAGTGCTGGGAGGGAGGGAGAGGGGAGGGGAGGGGGCAGGAGGTGGGGGGGGGGTGGCTTGGGTGCCGAGCACCCGCTAATTTTTCTCCATGGGTGCTCCAGCCCCGGAGTACTCACAGAGTCGGCACCTATGTAGTAATTGGGTTAAATCATATTAATCTTAGCAGTAGATGTTGGCATCTCAGCGGTGCTTGATGCAGGGCTGACAGAAGGCCACCCCAGCTGTATTAACTGCACTATACACTTTTATCTGCTGGGTATTCCCTGATATTTAGAAATAAAGTTGCAGACTAAGTAAACCACATCCAGTGTCTCCTGTCCTCCTTCTGGTGTAGGCGAACAATGAGAGAAGGAAGTTTCCATACATACAAGCCATTAATCACGTATATGTTTTGGAGTCCCCATGACTAATAGTTGTTCAGTTATCACCCAGGTGTGTTTAAAAGTTAGATTCAATTTGACATGCACAATTCCTGGGCTGTTAGCTTCAACAGAATAGTAAATCAGCAGCAACTCAATGAAAATAACTTATCAGACATGCTATCCAGCTTAAATAAGATTCCAATGGATTTCCGTTGCTCAATTGAAAAGAAGAAGCCTGCAGTGAAGTTCCTGGCTGCTGAATTAGAATAATAGGTAAATAAAGGGTTAATTGCTTATCATTTGTTGGAAGCAGTTAGCACTTAGCAAAACCTCATCCTTCCAAACTGATTATTCTTCAAAAACAAGAGGGGAGAAAAAAATCAAGTCGAAAGAATCCATGTGACTGAGTGGGAGCAAAATTTGTTTAGTTCCACTTCAAGTCAGCTTTACATCAGATGTAATGGTGCTACCCCCCTTCTGCTCAATATAAAGAGCCACTTCATGCAAAGAGCAGCTCATTATTGAGAAAGCAGAGGATCTTTTAAAAAAAATAATTGAAGTGGTTCATACATACTACTTCCCTTGTTTAAAATGTAATCAAATGACAACACTGGATAAATTATGCAATTCAAATCTGAATTTGGGCTCCTGGTCTGAAAATTCAAGTGCATTTAACTGTTTGATAATAATTACTTTTGAAGTTTGGCTTCTGTCAGGCGCAAGTTTAAAAGCCCTTCTTGTTGTTTCACAGTGTGTAATGTTTTCACTCTCGGCTTTGCAGCTATAGTCATTCTTAATTCCTCCAGGGCCTGTTTGCATTTTGTTCAGATGATGTGTGAAATGGAATTATAACTTTTGCTACAGCGAAATAAAACTCAAATATCCTTTGAAGTTTTTAAAATGATATTATAGGAAAATGAAGTTAAGTAATACTTAGGGAATCGTAGTGGAGGAAAAACATAGGGTATATTTTTTTCCCTTAAAGGAACTAAAGTAAGAAAACAAGCCTTAATTATAATCATGCATATTAATAACCATTGCTGTGCTTGTGTTGTAGGATCTCAAGAAAGTTCTCCAGAGAAACGTTGTGGCTTATGTTAGCCTCCATAACCCAGTAAGAGGCAATTCAAGTTTGCATCCTGTAGCATCGCCTTCCCTTCAGCAACTGGCAACAGAGGTTAGAGATATGATATTCTCCGTACAGCTCAGCTTCTCCGGTGATACAATTCTTCCATTTATGTTGGTTGCTTTTACTTAATTTCACAATGAGATCCTTCTGAGTGAATACTGACAAATAGAGTTTAAGGCCAGAGGGACCACTAGACCATCTAGTCTGACCTCCTGTGTATCAGAAGCCAACACCACCACCCACACAACCAAAATTAGACCCAAGTCTTACAGCCCACAGGCAACTAGACTATTATGTGCCACAGAAAGAAAACATCTTCACTGTAACCTTTTTGATATTCAGTGGCTGTTTTCAATCAAGTAAACACACTAACCAGACTTAAATACTTACCATACAGATTAAACAGTGGGCAGAAAGGATAACCTACATTTCTATACTAGCTCTACGGAAAGCCTTCAAGAGTTCATTATACTAAGTCTCACTACATTTGCATGCCCTTCAGCTTTTCTACTTCCTGGCAGCTTTAAAGTAACATATTTCCTATTCATTAGCACAATTCACATTTTCCTCTTCCTTTTATGATCTTTAAAAGCTGTTTATCAAATGACATTTAAACTTGTAAATTTACCAGCGGTAACATTTTGCACAAAGGGAAACAATTACTGCTCCTATAATCGGCAGTGTGTAAAGTCAATAGGTCAAATTCTGAACTCTATTACAGCACTGTAGCTAGCAAGAAGTCATTGGAGTTATTCCACAGTTACCCTGGTGTAACAGGGCTCAGAAATTGGTCTAATAACCTTTCTATAATTTCTCAAAGGTTCAGAATTCAATATCATTTTAAATGAAATGGAAATATTTTGAAGAATGTTGAATGAAAACCCTACTAGAGCTGGGCAAATTTTTCATGCAAATAGATTTTTGGTTAAAAATGTGCATTTGGTGAATGGTTTTGGTAAATAAATAAATAAAATTGGAAATGCTGAAATGGTTTGTTTCAGCATTTCCAAAACAAACTATTTAAAATGTCTAAAACACCCTCCCCCTCAATGGAAATAAAACATTTTGTTTCCGCAAGAAATTAAAACAATAATTGTCCTATGCAAAACAAAATTTCTTTTCAATATTCTTGGTTCAGTCACCAAACTGAAAAATCACTCTTTCACCCAGCTCTACATCTTGCATTTTAGTTGTTTTTCCCAGGACATATTTCAGACTGAATAGATTAATGGGAATACATAGAATTTGCCACCCATATTTCTACCTGTTCTCAGCTGGTACCTTATTCTTTTTTCCCATTATCCTGATTTATTGTTAGATAAGAGAATCAGAAGCTGCAAATTGACTGAAGCAGTGGCATCATATCTGGGAACACTGCTTATGAGAATGATATTAAAACATGGTATCTTTTCTCACTTCATAGGAGTTGAGCATAGGCTGGACATTTTGAAGGTAACCAAGCCACCCATGTATTTAAGTGCGAGTTTTTCTGTTTTCCATACTCATGTATGGGAAAGAACTAAGGAAGGAACTCTGATAGTCAATTACTTGTTTATTCCTATCGTCAAATTTCTGTAGCCAAGCACAATTCAATGCTGAAGGAATAAGATGCTAGTATCAGTGAAAGCTGAACCAGTTGATCTAAGGGTGTTTCTATGCTTTAACCTCAGGGTTAAGCTCAGGGTGTGATTCTTAGCTCAAGGAGACTTAAATGCATAGAATGTAGCTGCCACATCACAAATGGCAGGAGGGGCTAGCCATACCCATTATTTACCTGTCTGAGACCCTAGGTACATAATCAGGTTGGATAGCCCAGCCTGCTGGTCATGCTGCCACAGCGGCACTCTATTATTAGCACACTAGCTCAATGAGAGGTAGCGTAGTGTGAGTATGTCTCATCAAGCTGGGAGTCACACCACCAGGTCAAAGGGTAACATACCGGCTAATAAGAAGGGACCCGAGTCTGACTCAAAAGTTGGATTAATTTAGCTTTCCTGGGCACCTTCTACTTCTGGATCCCAGCCTACATCAGAAGCAAAAATTCTGGAACAGAACAAAGAAAGATATTCTCTTGTCCGGGGTTTGTGGATTCCAGGCAGGACTGACTGATTACTGACATATAAGATGACTCTTCCCCAACCTCAGGAAAAAAGGGGGCCTTTTGGGGCTGAACATTTTATACAGAACCATAGGTATGATTACAAGCGTTACTGGGACCTATCAAGGATCATTTTGTTATAAAGACTTAAAGAGATGTTTAAAAAAAAATAAGTGGTGCCATGTTGATAGACTGCAAATCTCACTATGGAGAATTTGCAGTCTTGTTTCGGTGAAAACTGGATCCAGCTCCTCTCAGAAAGTTTGCAGTTTTAAATCATATATTTAAGGCATGAAGTCCATGAGGCATTCTGTTTTTCTGATAAACACTGTTTGTTTTGTTACTTTGTCTTCCTACCCTGCCCCATCCTGATAATCTGTCTGTTTTGTCCACCTGTTTTACCTCATCTAGTGCCTAAGTGGTAAGCTCTCTGAGGCAGGGACTGCCTTCTTTGTTACTTGCCTGTATAGTGCCCAGCATAACAGGGCCCTTATCCTTGACTGGGGTCCTAGGTGCAATTGTGATATAGATAATAATAGTAGAAATAAAATGCTGCCCGGTGTTGGAAGGCAAATGAAAGCGCTCTCTCTCTTCTCCCACTCTGCCCCAAACACCAGCATATTCTTGGAAATATTGGAAGTCAATCCTCAGTCCCGTACAATGATGTCTATGGTAGCAGTAGGTGCATTATATAGGACTTTTTCCCCAGCCTTTCTCATCATTCATGTAGCTAAGGAATCCTGAGCAAGGCTAGATCATCATCACTCTTTCCTACCAGGAGCCAGCTTTTTCTCACCCAATGTGCTTTTTTTATAGCAAGGGCAATATTTTGTCTAAACAATGCAGTTATGGGTTTCTGCATTCTTCTCTGACACACAAAAATGTTGAAGAAACAAGACAATGTTAAAACACCACAAAGGATACCTGTATTTTTTGTACAGTGATATCATTTTTAATTAACACAAATGCCATACTGGTTATGACATTTAAAAAAAATGATGTGAAGTACTGCTTCCAAACTCTAGCCAGAATTGTTAGTTCATGTCAAGTATATCCTGAAGGATGGAAAAGCCAGACACAGATCTTTCATCTGTTCCCATGGGTGCTCTCAATTTGCCATCTGCTTAGGACACTTCCATGCTACTCCCTTTAAAGAGAAGAATGATCCTCTTATAAAGAATATTAATATCGCTTCCAGTAGTTGCTGAAAAGGCCAAAAATGTATGGGATTATCTCAAAGGTACATCAGCTTAAATGGAGTGAGTTCTGTTTTTTTTGGAAATTGCCTCCTCTTGCAGAAATTGTCAATTCATTCATATTAGATTCTTGCTAACAGAGGCAGGTTGTAAAAAGTGCTTAAAAACTCCAGCAAGAGCCAAAGATAATTGTAAATACTGTAGTTTATATTTAACAGTTCATCAGAAACAGGGTCCTTTGAGAACAGCCTTGTTAGAAACTGGAGCTGAAATCTGTAATTCAGGGTTTATAAACCTGTTTTTAAAAGGGAACGGAGAAATGGCTATTCTGGTTTTGCCATATAGAAATGTGAAATATTGTGGACCCATGACAGGTATCCATGGCATGAAAGCACCTCTTCAGCTTCTCAACACAGCAGCACAACTTGTGTCACTTTTCTACTCCTAAACAGGACTTTCCATGCTAACTTTGCCAGAGTGTCTCAGAGACGCCCAGCAATATTTTGTTAAATACTCAAACAACACACACACACACACACACACACACACACACACACACACACACACACACACACACACACACACACACACACACACAAAATAAAAAAATAAATAATGCAAGAATATCACTGTTCTGAGGACCTAACATGCTTGTTTTTGGTGTTTGTTGCAGGTTAAACACTGTGGATCCTTGGAAACTAGAAAGGGGAGGGAAACAGAATGGGAGGATGAAACCAGAGCTAGTAAAAAAAAAAAGGGGGGGGGGAGGGGCGGGGGCAAATTTTTAACAAAACTCTTGCAAAAAATGTGTCTCCTTCCCTTACACTCCTGAGACTAGAGGCCAATTTCCCTGGCATGCTGCCTGCCTAAAAGGATTGCTTGTTTTCCTGTGGATAGATGATTGGTACCTATGTAGAATAGCTGGTACAGATGAAAACTAGCTGGTACAGAAATCCTGGAGTTTTAGTGTGTAGCTTTCTTTAAAGATTTTTTTTCCTCTCCAGTTTTAATAAATACCATTTTTAATTTAACCATTTAACCAGTCCCACTACAGTACATCCATAAGGGAAAACAATAATTTGTTTTGTTCTGTGAGAGGATGTTGGGAAGAAAAATATACTTCTCCCAGAGCACTCAGCTATGGCAACTTGCTAAGAAATGCCACCAAAACAGTGACTGAAGTCAGCACTGACATAGGGAAAGCTGATTTGAGTGCAAAGAGTGTGGCAAGGATAGGGCACCAAATGTTATAGCCCACATGCAATGAATACAGGGCATTTCTCATTTGTTTCTGAGCATCTCTAAAGCAGACCTAACATTTTCATCAGTCTATCTCCTAGAACAAGCTCTCTTCTCTCTTTCTAGCAAGGAGAGGCCACAGAGAAAGGCATCAAAATTGGATCTTCAGATCTCTCAAGAACAAACTATTTCTATGAGGTTTCAGGCACTTTGTGGTTTTGACTGAGTTCAATACTACTCTCTCTCTCTCTCTCTCTCTCTCTCTCTCTCTCTCTCTCTCTCTCTCTCATATTAGAGGTTAATAAACATTTTTAATCTGCTAAAAGGTTCATTTCAGCTTCTCAGCCCAAGAGAGGGGCAGTAGTTTGGAGAGGTTCATATTATATCTTTTGTCCATCTCTAGATGTTTACTCAATGAGAAGCTAACAGGATGGCATACCCCAAGACCCTGAATAGAGTCCCATGCAGGATTTTTCTGCTGACCCACACTAGCCTTACATGCCAACACCATGCAT